GTCCAGGGAAGCCCGGATGGCGGAGGTGGCCCGGCTGCTGGGCGAGCCGCTGGAGGAGGAGGCGCCCGAGGGCAGGCCCCGGTCCAGGGCGGGCGGCCTGGCGGCGATGCCCTACCTGCGCCTCCGCCACCCGCTCAGCGTCTTGGGCATCAATTACCAGCAGTTCCTGCGCCACTACCTGGAGAACTATCCGATCGCCCCGGGCAGGATCCAGGAGCTGGAGGAGCGCCGGAGGCGCTTCGTGGAGGCCTGCAGAGCCAGGGAGGCCGCCTTCGACATCGAGTACCTGCGCAACCCTCAGAGGGTGGATTTTGACATTTTAACGTTTACCATAGCCCTGACTGCGTCGGAAGTGATCAATCCTCTCATAGAAGAACTGGGCTGCGATAAGTTCATCCACCGGGAGTAAGGAGTCAGGCGAGGGTGGACACGGCACCAAGACCTCGGCAGCCAAGTCAAACCCCATCCTGCAACTTGGTTTTCGAAAGTCAAAAGATCTTGAGAATAAGGCAGTGCATCGTTGGAAGAGGAAAAACGTCAGAAAATTGGGAGGGGGGAAATGTCCAAAACATCGTTAGGCTCCTGTAACGTTTCTTGAATTTATGATTGATTGGGATTTCTTGTGTCCACGTGGCTTCGTTAATGCGCAAAGGATGGTTTTGTAAAATTTTGAGACTTAAAATTGCCAGTAGTAGAGCCCACGATGAAGAAGGATCAGCGTGGAGAGTTAAAACTGGTTTTAGGACGAAGTTTGTGTCAAGCACTTGACTTTTGCAGAAAATGCCTTCTCTTCATGTCAGAGTCAACGAGAGTGTAGCGTGTAAGACTGACTGTGTTTCTGAGACGTTGAGAATGGCAAGCAACATGAATATTGTATATAGTATGTGATAAATGGTGTTTCCAAACATACCAAAATCTGCGATTTTGTTTTCCATATTCCAAAGGTTTTTCATTCTTGTCTCTCTTTTTTAGTAAGTCATCTATTCATAAACCCCGAGAACATGAAGGACTGACCTCTCTGTTCTTCTCTACTTGTCCCTGTACCTGGCACAGCCTCTAAAGTCAGTCTCCTTCCTAATTTCATTACGTATACACTTTATTTATCTATTTATTTATTTATTTTATTTCTTCACAAAGTGGACATACTTTGGTTTACATATTGGGATTTTATTTATAAGAAAATATCTTGAACCTTCCCGACCAGTATCTTTATTCCTTAGAGCTATACTTTTTGCATTCTGTGGTTATGCTGTTAATGAACCAGAAATATTCTGATGGACGGTTGGGCTGTCCCATCGCTTTCTCCCGGCAGTATAAAATCCTCCTCTAGGAGATTGTCTCCTGTGCATATCTCCAGCTGTGCTTTGCTTCTGAACACATTCTTCATGTTTACCATCTCAAGTTGGAATGCATCTTACACTTGATGGTGTTATATACCACTTTTTTTTTCAAGTTTCCATAAAATTGATGATGCATCTGATTAGCTCCTTAGGCTTTTTGTCCTTGGTAGTATCTGTAGTCTGATTTCTAGAAGTGACATTCCTGGGCCAAAAGTTTGCCTTGGTAACTTTACAGATATGGCTGATTGGCCTCTTTACACTCCCACCAGTGACTGGTAAATGGGTATTTTCCGATTTCGTAGCCAATATGCTCAACCGGCAGATGTATAGTGCTTACCAGCCTGGTGGTAGAAAAAAGGTGTATCAGTTTTAAGGTTTTTTTTTTTTTTTGGTTTTTCGAGACAGGGTTTCTCTGCGTAGCTTTGCGCCTTTCCTGGAGCTCATTTGGTAGCCCAGTTTGGCCTCGAACTCACAGAGATCCGCCTGGCTCTGCCTCCCGAGTGCTGGGATTAAAGGCGTGAGCCACCACCGCCCAGCTTAAGGTTTTTAATATAAGTAATCTTTTCATTTAAGAATGAAAAGGGACTTGAAAATTTTTCAGTAATAGCACACTTGCCTAGACTAGCCTAGTGAGAGCACACTAGCCCCAATGAAGGGTTGTGGGTGTGGCTCAGTGGTAGGGCACCTCCCTAGACTCCTCCATGAGAGACTGGGGTGTGGCTCAGTGGTAGAGCCTCTGCCTAGAATCCCCCAGTGAGGGGCTGGGGTGTGGCTCAGTGGTAGAGCCCCTGCCTAGAATCCCCCAGTGAGGGGCTGG